GGCCACATGTGTTGCCGAGCTGTGTCATGCTCAGGGCCCTCAGGCCACCAAGAACAGTAGAAAACTTGGAGGAACCAAGGCATACAGTCACCGAGACTGCCCATTGCTGAGGAAGACTCAAGGAGCAAGACTTAAGCAGCTAGCCATGGGTGATATTGTCTGGGAAAAAAATTCAATAGGTAAGGGTTATGTGCCTTTCTATGGCCATGGACACAGCTCCAGAGGCTGTGTGGATGGGCAGTCACTTGCTAGTGTCTGGTCCATATTAAGTTTAACTGGCTACAATCCAGAGTCTTATTCCAACCTTCTCCAGCGAATAGGGTCTTCTTCTGTACTATTCTGAGTTTGTGTGTGTTTTTCATGAAGTCTCTTGGCCACCTAGACTGACATTAAACTGGGTTAGCCTGACTTAGCTCACAGCCATCAGAACCCTCAGCCTCAAGAGGACATCAAGGCTCACACAGCAGCTGTGGTATGCAGGCTGTACCATCAGCTGTTGAGTGTTGGTCACTACCTGCTTGGGGGGGGGCACTAGCAGCATAAGAGAATATATCTGCAAAGGAAGGCAGCCCCTGCTGCATGGGCTTGCTTTAGGTGTCAGCACAGTCACGTGACAGTGCATCTAACTGCATACTTGCTGCAGGTATGGAGTAAGTGTGAGTTGCTCATTTCTTGAATCTTGAGTCTCCATGTTACAAAAAATTCCAGCTACTATTCAGTGTATGGTTTTATTTAAATAGCAGTAATTACAACAAAACAAGAAAAAGCAGGCTTTCCGGTTCAAGGACGCAAACACCACATGCTTTATCTTCAGTGGGTGTTTTATAGAGAGGAGTCTCTACTGTGCCTTTTTCCTTACCGAAGCATCCATCAGCTTATTTCAGTCACCACGGAACAACTGGAGAACAGGCCAGTGCACTCACGTTACTAATCGCCATAAAGCAGGCTCTCTGTCTGTGTGGAGAATTAGTGGAGTGTTCCTGCACATGATGGGAGATGTAGTTCATTCTTAGGACTATTAAAATTTAATATGGACAGAAGTGATTCTTCAAGCTAGAACCATACCTGTCCTTTATTGGTACAGCTCTAAGCTGGCATTGATTTATCCAGGCTGTCTGTTCCTCCCTTGCCCTGGCTTGCCATGGATGCATTGGGAGAAATAGGCAAGCAGGCAGGCACATAGGTTACCAAAGGGTAAGTGTGTATGTGGGGATGAGGGGGTGAGGAGGGTTGGCTAAGGTTTTCTGTGACCACTGAGCTTAAAGGAAAGGAGGAGCTAGCTAAAGAAAAGATACAAAGGCTGAGGGACTCAAGCTCAGGACAGAGGTTGGAATAAATTTCAGCTCAGACATCTGTGTGTGTGTGCATGCGAGTGTGTGTTTAAACAGTTAAGGGAAATGTTTACACAGTCAGTACATTTGAAAGAAAGTTATTAAGAGAATATTTTTCCTCTAATTGAGCTGGGCAGGGGGGCACATGCCTTTTGTCTCAGCACCAGAGGCAGAGGCAGAGGCAGGTGGATCTCTGGGTTCAAGGCCAGCCTGATCTATAGAGTGAGTTCCAGGACAGCCAGAGCTACTAGAGAGAAACCCTGTCTGAACAAACAAAAACAAACACACATACACATGACTGCATGCACCATGGCCCTTGCAGATGCTGTCTTGAGAAGGGAGCTGGGTGTCTTGTGTGGTCGCTTGAAGGAGGGCTCCCAAAGAACACTGGAGGATCTGGTCAGTCTGTGTTTTCCCGGGACTTACCAGCTAGTAGATTTTTTTGAAGTGGGAGGAAGGATTTAGACACTGCTCTGTGGGCTTTGAAATCCATCTTTTCCAAAGCCAACCTTTCTCACTGGGCAGCAAGATCTACATTCCTCACTGGTAGGTTTAGCAAAGAGGCATGCATAGTGAAGGATTTAGGAACTGGCGATCCACTGTGGAACCCATGCATCCCACTTCCCTAACCAGTGTCATCAGTGAGCAGTCTGAGCCCAGAAAAGTATTGTAATAAGAACGCCACTCCCATGAGCTCCGTTCCTGTTATCGTGTCAGAATCTGTGCAATCTAAACAGTAACCGCATAGGAAAAATTAGAGCTAGCACTGCGTACCTCCATAAGTCATAAAAAACCACATCAGTGTGGGGCTGGGGAGATGGCTCAGTTAGTAAGCTGCCTGCCACGTAAACATGAGGATCCAAGTTTGGATCCCCAGCAGCCATGTAAAAGCTAAGCCTGAGGGTTGGGGGCAAAGCTTGGTGGTAGAGTTCTTGCCTTGCATACAGATGCCCTAGGTTTATCCTTGGTATTCCCCCAAACCAATCATCATCAACAACATCAAAATCCTGTTGCTTTTTGATTTTCAGCACCTACCAGCACCTGTAACTGAAACTCTAGGCGATCCAATGCTCTTGTCTAGCCTGGGCATCTGCACACATGTGCACATACTGGTGGGGGAGGGAGGGAGGGAGGGAGGGAGGGAGGGAGGGAGGGAGGGAGGGAGGGAGGGAGGGAGGGAGGGGACCCTGAAACTAATGTTCAGGTGTTGCCTTCTTATAACCCCAGTGCTAGGGGGCTAGAGAAGATATAGTCAATTGGCGAACTCCAGGGACCTCAACCTGTGGCCTGCGCACATGAGTATGTACCCACACGATATGAAAACACACATATATGACTTATCGCTTAAAAGGAGCATAACGTTTTTGACATGGGGAAATAGGCTTGTGTTTGTTCCTTGAGTAGCTTCATCAGTTAGTTTATGAGTGACATTAGAAGTCTGTTCAAGTGTTGTCAGATTTTCCCATGTTTGCTCATCAGGGACAAATCCATCTGAAGCTCAGTGGCTGCCAGCAATATGGCGGTAGACAAAAACCACCTTGAGGATGTTGGTTGATCCTCTCCCCTGAGATGCCTGGGAGCATGCAGCACACTTGGTCTTCTTAGAACTGTCGTTTATCACATGTTTAACTCAGCTGCAACTCCCAAAGCCCCGTGGTTTTGACAAGATGTCAGTCAGATAATGTCACAAGCTTTTCTTTTTCTAACTGACCATCTCCTCTGTTTAACCCAAGCTTTTTTTTTTTTTTTTTTTAGTTTTTCGAGACAGGGTTTCTCTGTAGCTTTGGAGCCTATCCTGGAACTAGCTCTGTAGACCAGGCTGGTCTCAAACTCACAGAGATCCGCCTGCCTCTGCCTCCCGAGTGCTAGGATTAAAGGCGTGCGCCACCATCGCCGGGCACTAACCCAAGCCTTTCTTGATAAAATAACCAGGAGTATGTCTAAATCTCCATTTCAACCCCACAAAGCTCTTTCCTTAATATTACTCAAATGTAATTTTCTGTAGGGGAGGAGGGTACTAGTACTTAATAGAGTACCCGCGTATAACAGGGCAGCACATAGGCTAATGTCTCCTAATACTCTCAGGAAATCAGTTCCTTAAGTTCACTTAAACAGAGTGGAAACCAGAGTTCAGAAATTAGAAATCAGAAAATAAAATCAGAAACAATTATTCAGGGTTAATATTGAGCCAGGATCTGAGCCTGGGTCTCAGTGGAGTTTGCACTTTAGCGTCTGAGGCTCTGCTGTCTGTCAACAAGGTACAACCCAAAACATGAAGGCTAATACTGAGCCAGGATCCGGCTTTTGGGTGTCCAGGATGTTCAGATCATATTCCTCATTATTCTTCTAGGTTTTGCTATCTGAACAGAAGATAATCCAAAACAGTAGGTTCCAGTCTTCTATGTGTGAATGCCAGCTCTTACTTACTGAGTCAGGCTTATCTGATTATGGCTGGAGGGGCATGCCAATCAGCTGGGCCAGAGAGGTCTCAGCAAGACTGAGGCTGAGATAAGTTTATTTCAAGCAATCAGACTTTTTACACAAAACAGGATGGTGGTTGCCAGGATACAGTGATGGTTGCAAGCTAGGTGGGGCACATGGGATTAATGTCTAAAACTAATTAGTTGTTCAGCCAAGCTTTGATATGCTGACTTCTAGGGAATACAGAAATACACAGGCAGCTGGAATGCTCCACCATCTGAGGAGGCGCCTCAGTTTCTCAGGAACTGAAAGGCACATGGTGCCTCTAGAGCCATGGGCCAACCATCTCCATGATTCCCAGCAACTATAGATTCAGGTTTCCAGAGGGAACTCAGCAGGTAGCATCTTGAAATGGTTGAAACAGTTTGTACCATTGCTGCCACCAAACAGATGAGTCCCAACCCCCCACCCACGACCTCCCCTCCATCTCAGTGTAATCTTCATTCCTCTGACAAAGCACAGGACTGGAGACACTTAGGGAAGGTGGTTTTGAAATAACTTTCACTTATCTAATTAAATAAAAATATAGCAATTAAAACAAATAAATGATATTTACTGTGATACAATGCTTAGAGGAGGCATGTGCTCGAATCAATTAGTGCTCTCATCAGGAGCCATGGAATTACTAGGGATTTTGAGTTCATACCATGTTTAATAAGAACTACAAATTAAAAAAATTCCCCAAGTCTTTGTATTTATGTAAGAAAACTGTGTAAGCATTCTTGTGAGACCCTTCCTCCCCTACCACAGATGATTAAATACTGTATTAACCATCACTTAAAAATATGCTAAATACCTGCTTTAGTTATTGTGCAGAACATACATTTGCAAATGGCATCGCACCATAACCCATAAAGACATACAGTTGTAGGCTAATTAAAAACAAAATTAAAATATTGTGCAGAATATTTGCTCACAGTAAAAACAATTACTGAGTAAGCTAGCTGCCTTTTGTAGCAAGATCGCTTTGTGATTCAATGAGCAACAAACTCGGCTCTGGTGCCAGAAGCACCACGGAGGGGAGAGAGCATGTTAGGTGCACATGAAAGATTCGTAGTGGAAATATCATGTTCCTTGGGACAGCATTTAAACTATGAATATTGAGATAATATCTAGATGCTGTATGCTATGTTGAGACTTTAAAAATGTTTATTGTTTGATAGTTTTTTTTTTAATGTTTAAGTTTCATTTTATTTTTCCAAGGTGTTTTCTTCTATCTTTATGAAGCCACTTTACATGGGCTTTGGTGGAGGTCGTGGTGCAGCACCAGCAGGTCTAAATCGTGGTGGGGGTGTTCGGTCCTTCCAAGCTTCCTGGGATCGATTCCTGACTACCTTGCTATGTATAGCACAGCTCACACAGTAATGCAGCTTGACATAGAGTTTGGAGAGCACATAGGCGTCGAAGACACTCGCTTCGGATGGGTCCCTGACGGCAGTCGCCTCTACGATGTTCCAAATGACAAACTTCTTAATGGCCTTGTCCTTGGGCACACAGCGGGCGCAGTTAGTGCCGCGAATTGGCTGCACATGGCCGTGGCCCTTTTTGGCACGAGCGTTGTTTCTCCTTTTTTTTTGGTCATCTTGGAGCCAAGTCCCGAAAGCTGTTTGATAGTTTTATATGTGTATGTAATGAATTTTAGTTTCCACCACAGATTTCCTTCCCTTATTCTCTCTTCCCCTCTGGAGCCCTTCTTCCTGAGAAGTCTCCATCCTCCTCTCATGAGTCTTTCTGTATGTTTGTGTGTGCATGTGTGTGTATATATATCTGTGAGTGTATGTGTGTGTTTGTGTGTTTGTATGTACTTGTGTGTTTGTATGCATGTGTGTGTGCTTGTGCGTATATATGTGTATGTTTGTGTGCATGTGATTTGTATGTGTATGTTTGAATGTGCATATGTATGTGCTTGTGTTTTCATGTTTGTGCATGTATGTGCATGCTGGCATCTGTGTGCATGTGTGTTTGTATATGCATGTATGTGTTTGTGTATATATGTGTGTGTGTGTGTGCAAGCATGCATGTGTATGGGTTTGTGTATGTGTGGCCCACTGAATTTAAGTAGGGCTTCTTCCATGAGTATAGGCAGGAGGTTATTTACTGGGGCATGGATAACTTATCAGTGGCTATACCACTGAAGAAAGTGACAACCCCTCCCCAAGCAACCATTAACCTCTGGGAGAGGTGGGCTCTCATAAACCCTCCCAGCTATATATGGTGCTGTCATCTGTACAACAACCGCATCATGTCCAGAAGACAGCAGGGATCCTCTGGGTATGGTATTGAAACACAATGGGCAGGACAAAACTCGTCTAGCTTTCTGAGCATCTAGTGTGTATTTGGTGACAGAGAACATTCAGACAAATATTAACCAGATATTCATACACTTATATAATTGCCTCTGTTATTTAGTGCTATGAGAAAAATAATATAACACAGACATGAAAGAGAAAACTATTGTTGGATAACTGGGAGCCAGGTAAAGTTCCTCTTTAATAAGAATTGTGATGAGGTCTCCAAGCTGAGGAGAAATTAAATGAGGGAAGTGTGATGTTCAAAGGAGGAAATGAACTTTTAGGCAGAGGGAGCAGCTCATGCCAAGATCCTTGGTGGCGGTATGAGAGGGGTATGAACAGGAAAAATGTGAGAGGTGCCAGGGGCCACCAGGGGTTCCTGTTCAGACGGGGTTAGCTTTACTTTTGTCATTGCGACAATGTGAAGCTGCTGTGGGTTAGTATTTAAGCAATGACTTTTTAGACATACTTAGCAGCAAAGTTACAGAGTGAACTGAAGGAGAGGGTGCATGGATTCAAGAGGAAAGGGCTGAAGACTTTGGTAGCAACACAAAGTGTGGAGACCTAACAATGTTGGCATGTCTGGGAGGTGTCCAGTACGGTTAAATAGATAAATATTGACCATTGGTTGGGTTCGGGAAGACAGCACACCCTTCACCATTGAGCTCTTGGCTTGCTTAGTCCCTAGAGGCAATTTCTTTGTAAAGAAAGATTTGAGGCTGCCAGGATGGAAGAAAAGCTATTGTGGTCAGTTTTCTATGTTGAAATACGGGTAACCAATTGGCTATGGACACTGAGGGCCATAGAAATGTTCAGAACCAAGTAGTACAAAGTTCCTACCCCCAGCCACTCCTCAGAAAGGGTGAGGTCTTCCATGGGGAGTCAACAACATCTGTCACATCACTTGAGGCAGGACTAAGGCCCTCCCCCCCCCCATATCTAGACTGAACAAGGTATCCTTCCATAGGGAATGGGCTCCAAAAACCCAGTCATTGCAATAGGGAGACCAAATTACACAATGGTCTACTCGTAAGAATAGTTTTGGTGGGGATGGGAACATGGGGGATTGGGTTGGGTGACGGAGGGATGGAGAGTGTAATGTAAGAGACATCTTGTTGGGGGTGCATCTTGGGATCAGGTAGAAACCTTATGCAAGGGTTACTCCCATGAATCTACAAGGATGACCCCAGCTGAGACTCCTAGTAATAGTGGGTAGGTTGCCTGAACTGGACATCTCTGTAATCAGATTTGTAATTGTCTCAGTTGTCATCAGAGAGCCTTCATCATCCAGCGACTGATGGAAACTGTTGCAGAGATCCACAGCCAGCCACCGGGCCAAGCTTGGGGAATCCTGTTGAAGAGAGGGAGGAAGGATTGTATGGGCCAGGGGGTCAAGATCATCACAAAGGAACCCACAAAGGCAGCTAATATGTGCTCATAAGAACTCACAGACACTGGACCTACAGCTAGGAGCCTGCATGGTACCGACCTAAGCCCTCTACATATGTGTGACAGTTGAGTAGTTGTATAGCTTTATTTACTCATGGGACTCCTACTAATAGGAGGAGGGCCTACCCTAACTCTTTGGCAGGCTTCCAGGAACCTATTCCCCAAATTGGATTGCCTTGCCCAGCTTAAACAGAAGGTGAGGAGCTTAGTTTTACCTCAACTTGCTATGCCATGATTTGTTGACACCTTTTGAGGCCTGCCGCTTTCTGAACAGAAACAGAGGAGTGGGTGTGGGGGTGTGTGTGGGAAGGAAATAGGAGGAGAGAAGAGAGGAGAAACTGCAGTCGGGATATAACATAATGGATAAATTTAATAAATAATAATAGTTTACTAACAATATTTCACTAGCATGGTTCCCTTTTAATCAACAATTTTATTAATTTCAGTTTTATCTTTCTGTTAATTTGTCCATCTTATCTCCCTAAAGAATATCTTCCTTGTTTCCTTATTTCTAAATATTGCTCTTTAAGACTCACCTTTCTTTTTCTTTTTAAAAAAATATTTTTTTATTGATTTTTATTGAGCTCTAAATTTTTTCTCTGTTCCCCTTCCTACCTCCCACCTCCCCTTCAACCTTCTCTGAAGGTCCCCATGCTCCCAATTTACTCAGGAGATCTTGTCTTTTTCTACTACCCATGCATGTCTCTCTTGGGGTCCTCATTGTTGTCTAGGTTCTCTGGGATTGTGATTTGTGGGCTGGTTTTCTTTGCTTTATATTTAAAAACCACTTATGAGTGAGTACATGTGATAATTGTCTTTCTATGTCTGGGTTACCTCACTCAAAATGATGCTTTCTAGCTCCATCCACTTGCCTGCAAAATTCAAGCTGTCATTTTTTTTTGCTGTGTAGTACTCCATTGTGTAAATGTACCACATTTTCATCTGACTCACTTTCATTTCTAACCTGTACTAATCATTGCTATAGGTTGCATTTGGGTTTGTTGGTTCCCTGGGTTTCTAGAACCTTAAGACACATAATTAGGTTGTTTATTTGAGATCTTTCTGTTACTTTAACATAATTCCCAACAACTTTAAACTTTTAGAACTGCTTATGCTATACCCAAATATTTGGGTAAGCTCTACTGTTATTTTACTTAGATTCTTTGAAATTGTAAATTTCTTCCCTGATTTTTTTTTTAAAATTGCTCCCTGTTCATTAAAAAAGCATGTAATGATCAGTATTCAATAATTTGCCTAATTTCTGTGCTCACTCTTGGAGTTGGCTTGTTTTTTGCATTATAAGCTGATAAGATACAAGGACTTAGGTATTTAAATCTCCCCCTCTTGTTTGAAGGCTTACTTTTCATAACCTTTTTGTTTGCTTTACTAATTGGATGACCCAACACTTGATTCGGCCATATTTACAATGAATTATTCTTAGTGAATTGTTTCCTTGTCTAATGACCTTCCTTATCTTTCCATGAGTTCTGAGATCTATTCTGTCAGACCTGAACATAGGCATTCGAGCTGGTTGTATTTGCTTCATAGGTTGATGTCTTTTCATTGATGCTGCTTTTGAATGTCTTTATTGAGATGTGGTTCTTGGAGGCAACATATAGTCGAGGCTTGTTTTTCTTAACCCATTTGAATAATCTGCATCTTTTAGTTGGTGAGTCTAGATCATGTCAGCAAGTAGTCCTTGCAAATACTGCATGAGAACTCTGCTTTGAAGGATGATAATTTGATGCTTTGTGCCATAAATTCTATGCTAACATTAATAATTTCTCCTGGGAGCTGGAGAGATAGCTCAGTGGTTAAGAATGCTTCTTTTCTTGACCTTACAAAGGGCCCATGCTTGGTTCCCATAACCTACATAGGGTAGCTCACAATTACCTTTAACTCCAACTCCAGGGACTATGACACCTCTGGCCTCTGCAAGCATTTGTATTTATTGGCACATATACACAGATGCACACTTACACATTCTAAAATGATTTTTAAAAACCTTTAAAAATATTTTTTCTATTTTCTTCATGTTCAAAATTTCCTGATATAGCTTAGCAATTTTTTTTTTGGATTTTTGAGACAGGGTTTCTCTGTGGCTTTTGGTTCCTGTCCTGGAACTAGCTCTTGTAGACCAGGCTGGCCTCGAACTCACAGGGATCCGCCTGCCTCTGCCTCCCGAGTGCTGGGATTAAAGGTGTGCACCACCACCACCCAGCTAGCTTAGCCATTTTTAAAGAAAGTTATTCAACACTGCCTTCTTTAAATTTATTATACTTCATTTCCACCTAAAATGTCACTTAAATTTTATTTATTTATTAAAAATTTCCACTTCCTCCCATTTTCCCATTTCCCTCCTATTCCCCCTACTCCCCTCCCCCTCCCTCTCCAGTCCTTAGAGAAGTCAGGGTTCCCTGCCCTGTGGGAAGTCCAATGCCCTCCCCCCTCCATCCAGGTCTAGGAAGGTGTGCATCCAAACAGACTAGGCCCAAAAAGCCAGTACATGCAGTAGGGTCAGATTACAATTTAATTACATTTCTTCTCTTTCTTTCCTCCCTCCAAACCTTCCTATATATCCTTCCCCACTCTCCTTCATATTCATGAGCTGTTTATTTAGTAATTGTTTTAACTTGCACATATAGGTATACAAACACGTACATTCCTCAATATAATCTGTTCAGTCCATAAAGTGCTACTTGTATGTATGTTTTAAGGACTGACTATTTGGTATTGGACAACCAGTTGGTTTGCTCTTCCATGGGGGAAGGCCATCTCTCCCACTCCCAATTTCTCAGTTCTGTTGTTCTTTATGGAAAAGCCTCCTGGGCTTTTTCCCACCCAGTTTACCCTGTTCATTGTGCCATCCTGTTTGGCTCATGTCTGAGGGCAGTCATGTTGGTGAAGCTTTACAAATTCTTTTTCTGTTAGTAGGACCAAATGTGAGTTCTAATATTTACAAAGTTTTAGTTTCTCACTTTACATTCTAAAATACAAAAGACTTTTCATTGGCATTAAGGCAATTCATAGAAATCCTATCTCTGTATTATAAATTGAAATATTTTCAGTTTTATAGATTTGATACACTATCATGTTTTCTTTATGGCAAGTAAAAGTTATACACAGTGTACAACATGAGTTTTGATTTATGTCTGCAGTGTAGAATTACCATGTCAAGGTTTTGAATACATGTTTAGCATCACAAACTATTTTTGGTGTGGCAAAACACTAAAAATCCACTCTTTACAACTTGTAAAAGTCTAGAATATAGCAATCTGTAAGTTAGAATACAGTTTTATTAATTATAGTTACCGTTATATATAATAGATCTCCTGGTTTTCGCTCTCCTAACTCCCATTTTACTTCCTTTGAACTCCCATCCCTTAGCATCTGGTAACCATGGTTTTGTTCTCTATTCCCTGAATTCAGTTCTCTCAAATTGTGCACAGTGAGTAAGCACTCTCAGGGCTTCTCTCGGTTAACCCACCCAGGTTATCCATGGCCCAACGATAGGATTCCCTTCTGTCTCTAAAGCAGTCCAGTTATATATGTACATTTACCCCTATCAGTCCATTGATGGACAAATAGACCAATGATTAATCAAATAGTCAAATCCTTAATCATAATCACCAAGATGGAAAGAGGAAGCAAAATAACAATAGATGGATCTTAAAAAATCATTCTGTATACCATGGGAGAAAACAAACAGGCAAACAAACACAACCCGCAGGCGATCTGCAACATGGAAGGTGGATCTAAATGTATCATTTCAAAGTTGTTACAATCCGATAAAATGGACATTTAAAATATTTATTAAAAGTGGGGATATCTCCCTGGGAGGGTCTGCTCTTTTCTGAAGGGAATTAGGGGGACAGTGGATCTGGGGGAGAGCGGAGGCTGAGGAGAGGAACTGGGAAGAAAGGAGGGAGAGGAGGCTGTAGTCTGGATGTATTGTATGAGAGAATTAAAAAAAAAAAACTGGGTACCTCTCTTCTTCCATGTCTCATACCACAGGTTTTGAGCCTGTCAAATACTGGAAGCTTGGGCTAGAGACTGCTGACCAGAGATTCTTGAGCCAGAGGCACAGCTGACCAGAGATGTCTGAGCCAGACACTGCTGACCAAGGATGCTTGAGCCAGAGACACACCTGTTGAAAGATGTCTGACCCGAGAGACTACTGATCAGAGATGTTTGAGCTTCAAGGACTTGCTTCAAAGGTGAGTTGAGTGAGTGTCAGCACAGGTAATCCAGGAGCAGGGAGTCCTGTGCACTCAGGAACCTTCCATGTGGTGAGGGGAGAATCAGATCTACCCATGTATATTCCCTCAGTGTCCTAGTAGTATGATTAGTCTTCATTATTTGAGCATAAAGATTAAAGGCACTAAATTAGTCCATTAAAAAGGCTAGGTTGTATAGTCGTTTATTTATAAAATTTCAAAATCTTAAAGGGATAGAATAATGTCCTTTCAAGCATTAAAATGAGACCAAATGCAAGACATTAAGCTAGGAATGTCACTTATAAATGTGACTTATTAAAAGTAGAGTTAATCTATAAAGTAATCCAGAAGGGAATGACTCTAAGCAAGATGTGACTGGGATAATTTATTGATCACCTTGAATAATTCATCTGAATGCCCGTGGATGAAGACTGCTACATTAAGGCTTTCAGCATTTTATCTTGGTCAGATTTAATTTACATGAGTATTGTTGAGCACTAGCGAGGTTTACCAGCACACAAATGACCGAACTTGTCCTTTGTGTGTTTTGTCTGGAGTAACATGAACAAACTGCCACACAACCGCAGAGCCGCTGAGTTGAAAGAGATCACAGCAAACTTGGCAATGACTATAACGTTTTAGAGAAATGAGGATAATAGAAATACCATTGTCTTTGGAGGATAGGTCTACAGAAAAACAGTATTTATAACCACTTCAAAGTTAGTACCTGCACTTTGTAGGATAGTAACAACTAGACTTAATTCATACCACTACTTGTTTAATACACACTGTATATATACATATGGATGTATATATACACATATTTAATATTTAATACACACATAAATTTAAAAGGCAGAATGAGGGGCTCGAGAGAAGACTCAGTGTTTAGGAGCACTTGTTGTTCTTCTGAAGGACTCAGGTTCAGTTCCCATGTCCCACACCACACAGCTCACAGTGCCTGTAACTCCAGCTCCGGGGATCCATTTCTTTCTTCTGGACTTCATGAGCAGGGGCACTCATGTGAGCATACACAGCCTCACATACACAAATAATTAAAAAATTAGAGCAAGTGGTCTAGTTAATATGAAAAGTACCCTTAGCTCATCATTTCTGTGAAGTGATCAGTGTAGCTGTGGTCTTTCCCTTAGTCCAACGTTTCATGCTCTAACATTAGTGAGCTCCTACAAAGCTAAGTCATGAGAGATCTAGAATGAATTCTTCAATTATAAAATGACTACCAACCATAGCTGAAGTTTTCCTTTGGTAATGCTGATACGTTGAATGTGTTTAATGGTGATTTTCTTGACAGGTTTAACACAGCCCACCCTGGGCAGTTGTATTGGTTCTTCCTAGTTCCAAGCTGTTTCTATTGTCACACGCAGAGTGAATGTTGGCATCCCATTATTTGCTTCTAAATCCTCGTAGAAGAGGATTGTAAGTGGTGAGAGACGAGTGTGCTTTATCATTATCAGGTAATGAAAGAAGTAGGCAAAACACACCCAAAAGTGTTGCATGAGCTCAATACACATCCATTTATTAATGCATATGCCAGAGATTGCATCATACGAGGCATTTGGAAAAGTCATTAACAAAGCAGTCGCCTAAGATTTGAACACAAATTAGCCAATCTCCCCAGCCTGTGTGTTTCCAGACCCAGCAGCACAATGGTTGAGGGGGGTGACACTAGTCACTTCTGCTCCTCACATACTGGCCCAGAGTGTTTATATAATAACATAGTCAACGTAACAGTGTCTTGTTCCTGCACGTGTTGGGAGTCCACTCACAGCTCTGGCTGTAAGTGACAATGAAAAAGGATGTTCTGCAGCCAAATATTCAGATACAGACGCTGGAAAGGCAAATCATAAAAATCCAGACAATGCATGTATTCGTAACCAAGTTGCATTTGGGGGCATATAAAGAACACGAATTACAAAATCATGAGCAATTTACTTTGAGTTTATTTTACATTTTTGTCTCCTAAATATATATATATGAAGATGTGACTTTTGGTTTCTCTGCAATATATAGTAATGCTGCATTCAACATAAACCATTGAATATTTTTAAAAGAAATATATTGTTGTAGAGTTAATTAGTCATAAATGCATTAGTGCTTTTCTGGCCAACAAGTTACTTATCACAGAAAATTTAGACAAACTGTCTTTGCAGTCCATGACTTTCCAAAGAATGGAATCGGGTAAAGCTGAGACATTCTGCTCCATGGCAAATGCATCAGGTTACCGCTCTTTTCTTTCCTTTTTATTTTTAAATTACCGATGTGATGTGGGGGGTGCCTTGGCAGTTTTAAAGAACACAAGTTTCATCAATATTATCAAACATTAACAAACTAGTTAGCATTGCTTTGTGTAAGTTTGCTTCGAAAGCATTTCTTCACAGTGATATTTTAGAAAGGTTGGGAAGTGGTCAGCATAAAATATTTCCCACCTTTTCTATTGTAATTTGTATGCAAAAGTCATCACAATATATCTGCAACTATAAAATTACAAACTTTCTAGAAGTTGCTGCGTTTCTAGGTGTGGTAGAAAACCGGAGCTGCAGGGTGGCTACAGTCGGGTGAGGTTAAACCAAACAGAAAGGAAGTCATAGGTGCTGTCTGATTGGTCACTCCAAAGAGATCTAACAAAGGCAACCAATGAATAAACTCAAGACAGTTTTTAGTTTGCTTCATGGTGGAGAAACTGGTTATGAGAAGAACATTGTAAAAGGTAGTCTCGATAGTTCACTTTACATCATAATTTTGGCACTTCATGGAACATTGATTTCTCAAAGACCAGAATTGGTATAAAAGTTTTTCACATACCTTGTAGACATTATGGTTGATTAGTGGCAAACATCAAAACGCAGTGAATTTAAACATTCCCGTGTGTTTTCACATGCATGGAAGGGTCAAACAGTGGGAGTTTATGGATTCTCAAAGGCGGTATTTTGAAGTATTTGTTTCAGGCACTCTCTTCAGTAGACCTTGTTTCAGATTTAAGCCTCACAAACTCTTTAGCGACATCGTCGCTGGTCCTCTGAGAGAGTATTCTAAGAATGGTCAAGCCAGTTTCATCCATAGAGAGGTTTTTCAGAAGAGGGTACCACGCTCCGTAGCTCCCTTTCTCCGCGATGTTCTGTAACTGAATGACTGTCATCCCAATTATTCGATCTTCCCGGGCGAAGCAGTAATCCTTAACTGAGAGGTGAAGTTCATAGGCTCCTGGACGGTTCTCACTTCCCAGGATGCTGCATGAATTAAAGACACAAAATGATTTAAAGGTACGAAAAGAGCCAAACTTTTACTCATGGTGCTTGGTGTCAAACCCATGTCTTGAGATGCCTGTATCTGATTGATGCATCAATAGGGGTAGGAAGTAAAATATGTTACATTTAGTTATTAGATACAGAGGCTCTGGATTGATAATGGATACTGTTGGGAGAATTTCTTTGTCAGAAACTAAGAATCTTCTGTTTCCCAGTGAAACTTTTCTTTTAAGGAGCCTTAACTCAGAATGAGCAAAAAGCATCAGTTCCAAGATGCTAAAATTGGTGCACATCTCTAGGGCACATCATTTTTTTCTTTCTAACAACAGTTAGCCTGTACTAGTACAACCAAAGAAAGCTCACTGTATAGGATGGCATGTTAGAGAGGTGAAGGGTGGAGTGCAGGGAACTATATAGCCAGACGTCTGGACATCTGGTCATGGTGTCTCAAGATACTACAGTTGAATCTTTGTCCAAGTTATTTACAGAAAATAGATGTTGTATATGTTGAAGATATTAAATTAGATCAAGATTCTTGTTTGATCTGAAGTAGAAAGCTACAGTTCTGTGAGCTGATTTGTTAACAGAATTACTAGGATTCTTGATGCACATAGCAGGAGATAGGGGCTCACCATGTAGCTTTGACTGGCTGGGAGCTTACTACATAGAACAAGCTCACAGATCCACCTGCCTGTGCATGCTGGGATTGAAGGTGTGAGTGCTCTTACAGGTATGTTTTGTTGCACGGAAATCTCCTGGGCTCTGTTCTATTTTCCTTTCGCACTGTGGGTCAGCTCATTTAGATATAGAAGATTAGTAGGGAGCAACTTCTCAAGCTATATCCAATAATGTGTTTGATATATCCTCTTAACGTTTCAAGGGGCCTCCAAACAAATATATTAAAACCAAGATTCTTGCTATCATTTTTACCATCTCAGTCAATCATCATCCACCTGACCTCTTGGTCAGGCCTCAAACCAGAATCCTGCTTCTTGTAGCCAAGTATCTTCACCTCACAGGGGATCTGTTCCACTCTCCACGTCACAATGGAATGCTGACCTGTGGCGCTACAATGTTAGACTTTTCCATGTTCCAGCTTCCAGTGGATTTTGAAAAAAAAAAAAGCCCTCCCATAAGGACATCAGAAGAGGTAAGGGTGAGGTCAGAGTTTCTGCTACATTGGTTTCCTGCTGTGTCTGCTTTGAGTCGGCAGTTTCCCTTTGTGGAAGATCATTGCTAAATTTTCACTTTCCCAACTTTGGTAATACTCTTTTGTGCCTAGCTTTCAGATCCTGTGGTGCTTTGGAAAAAAATGGCACCCAAAGGGAGTGGCACTATTAGAAGGTGTGGCTTTGTTGGAGTGGGCGTGGCCTTGTTGAAGGGAGTGTGTCACTGTGGAGGTGGGCTTTGACATCTCATGTTTGCTCAAGCCACACTGAGAGTATGGGACCACTTCTTCTTGCTGCACTCCACCATGATGCACCGTAATGATAACAGACTAACCCTCTGAAATGTAGGCTACCCAATAAAATATTTTTCTTTTAAAAGGGTTGCTGTGTTCATGATATCTCTTCACAGCCATAGAAACCCCAACCAAGTCAGACCCCTAACAGTCCTCCTGCACTGACACGTTTGTATGTTTTTAAGTAGGTCTCATGCCATAGAGGCTTGCGTTCTACATTAGTTCAGATGATAAAAAGTCTTCCATCATGGTTCAGAATGTTCTGTTTCATCTCTTGCCTAGACTATTGTGTAACTTTCAATTACAACCAATACTGTCATTTAAAGACATCTATCTGGTGTTCAGCCCTTTATTTGGAAACTCTCTGGGCCCTGTCAAAAAGTGATCATCGTACATCCTTGTGTATGCTTCCTTCCTCAAAGGCATTCTTTCTTGCCCTCTTTCTCATTGTGTACCATTCCTTTAAACATATTGGCTTAGCTCCTATCTTGGGGTTCTTCTACTTGACCATGACAATCACACATTTTTATCTTTCATCTCTAGAAAGACATTTCCAAGACAGCAAAGGCCATCTACTACCTGTCCCCAGTGTCTCTGACACTGCCTGATGTGCAGAGTAAAGGGATCAAAGCCTATTGTTTGCGAAGAACAGGAGACCACCCATGTGTTTAACTTTCCACCCCGAATCTTCCAGTAAGTTTTAGCTGAAATGAGTGGTGTTTTGTTTCCGACTTACAACTGGAAGGTTTCGTTGTACTTCGGTGACCATGTGTTGCTCTTTGTCTTTGTTCCTTGTTTTCTCCTCTTGTCCCCCAGGCTTGGTCCCAGCATGAAAACTTCCACAAAGGGGCGGAACATGGCCGTGGTCTGCCAGTTTAGGTCGTTGATAGCAATCACTGAAAAGCAGAAGCCAAGCTTCAGCAAACTGTTCTGTGAACATGGCTAGAAGTTGTACTTGAGTGTGCCCTGACTGGACCCACAAAGAAACGTTCCACAGGTTGAAATACTCTATACCTGGGAATGCCCTGGTAATGGAAAATTCAACTTGACATTCATGTGAGTGACATTTATAATGAAAAGTTATAATGAAGGTTAAAACCTGGGTGGTTTTTCATACTAAACACTAGGGAAACTCCATTATGCCTCCATTATGCAATATTTAGAAAATATATTAAAGTTGAGTCTATGTTATCGTAATACTTTCAATAGCTATACAAAAATTAGATGATAGTGTATTATAAATATTCTTATAATCAGTATTTACAACTTCATCATAGTTATCTAATTTGCTAATTCCATCATATACTAAATGCTATGGCTGTTTCCTAACTTAGGACTCACACAAACAATTCTAAATAGATGTTTATATGTTCCTGCTCAGTTTTGGCTACCAGTAGAAAGAGTCTTAAAATTTTTACTGCTAAAGATTAAGCTTTTGGGCTTGATATATATTTACATATTTTTAAAACACACTGAAGGATGCTGAACTTTGATCCTATATAAGCATGGCTACTACTTGGAATTTTTCCATATGTACTTGTCACATAATTTGTTCTGAGCCACAGCAGCTTAGGAATATGGTGTAATTCAAGCATACACTGGAAGATGATGGTTTTAACCAAAGTGGATACTAAAATGACTAAGTCTATAATAAACATAGACTACAAGACTATTTAGTAAAATGTTGGCTATTAAATGAAAGCTTTTAGTTGGAAAACAGGGTTTTGTGTTCATAATATTGAGCCATTTTATTAACAACAAGGAAAACCAGTTATTTTATGCTACTTTTAAGTAGATTATGTGAGTGGTAAGAATATATTGGTCTATATTTAATTATAAAATCCACTTTTGAAATTTAGTCCCCAATATATTGTCTTTAGATGTTTTAAGAATTTGTTTTTCTGAAGAAATTTTAATCATGTCCTATTGTAGCTTATATTTAAAAATATATACAAGAGAAGTGATAGTTTTCATATAATTTCTGTAGATGTTAAAGATTAATAGATTACAATATCTGAACCCCAATTGTACCTTTTACAGTGACTTTATGCTCTCCAGTCCCTGGGGTAGTGGTGACATCCACATGGACAGAGATCTGACCTACAGAGTCTTTGGAGGAGCGGCCTGCAAACAGAAGAAATGTACTAGATTGAATGTTCAGGTTGCATGCCTTATTTTCTTTGCCTAAGGATTAAATATTTTTCTTTTCTATTAATATCACATGCTAGACACTGATTAATGCTCAGAGTTCACAATGTTGGCATTGCACATGGTAGACCCATCCAAAGCCCTGTCAGTGCAAAAGCTAAATGCCATAAACTCAGTGGAAATTCACCAGATGCCTAATTCCTACCATAGTGAAAAGGTTTAGTGCCCACCCCCAGCACTAATAACACTTTACAGACTGCCTCATTGCTTTATACTCTCTTGTTAAGCCATCTACACCATGACACAGCAGAGCCCTGGAAACTAAAAGATGACCCTGAATGCTGAACTCTAGTCTCCATGGAGCTCAGTATAGGACAAGACAGACTAAACAATACCAAGAGTTATTGCCATATGGTAACCTTAGATATACACATTCACATCATCTATAGGGTAGGCAAGTCCACCACGGTTACACGAGTTAAGGGTTGAACATATCGAGAGGAGTGCTTGCTGTTTAGAGGCAGATAAATGAATTCAAACCATTACTGCATTTTTAAGCTTCGGTGACCCCCACTCCCCCCACAGCATCTATTGTGTTCTTCAGCCTCAGTCTTCTCATTTGTAAAATGAAGAGAAAGCCAACCACTTTCCAACCACTTTTTATACCCACACTTCTTAATCTATCATTTAGGAACACACCAGTTTGAAGCATACTCTTAAAGTATTATGATGGTGGTCTTCGTGCTTCAGCATACACAAAGCTGCTAGCACCTGTTGTGTGGCCTGGGACCTCATGCCAACTACAAATTAACTGTGCAAGGAATCACTGAGATGTTTAAGTAAAATTACCCTCGTTCACATGCAACACGATTCCATACTTAAGAGACCCTATAGCTCATCTAGAAAATGCTTAGATTTAACAAACATTTCAAAATCAACATACAAAACTCAGTAGCTTTCATACATATCAACAATGAACCTGCATAGCAATCCCCAGTTAAAGTTCCCAGGAATAGCCCCTCCCACAGGAGGAAGATTAATACAGTGAGAAACTTAGGGCACTGACAAGAAGTTATAGGAGACACCGGACATGTCCTGGATGGGTAGAATCAATACTGGGAAGATGACTGTGTTACCAAAAGGCATCTATTGATTTAATGTAATCAAAATTTAGTGCCGTCAAAATTCTAATGAATATGGGTGTGGTGGTGCATGCCTTTAATACTGACACTTGGGAGGCAGATGAATGTAAATTTGAAGTCTTCCTGGCCTATGTAATGAGTTCCAGGACAGTCAGAGCTATGTAGGCAGACCCCGTGTCAAAAAATAAAATCCAATGACAGTCTTCACATAACTAGAAAATACACCTCAAAATGTATGTGGAAACATGAAAGACAACGTAGCCAACCCAATCCTAAGGAGAACACATGTTGCTGGAGACACCATAGTAACTGACTACAAACCATACTGTGTGTTAGAGAGTCAAAGGAAATGTGGTACTAGCACAGAGAAAGCAGGTGAAGGGCAGTCCAGAAATAAACCCACACAACTATGGGCAGACGATCTTTGATAAAGGACATTAAAGACATACACTGGTGAAAAGAAAATTAGTTCAGGAAAGAGATAGCAAACTGGAAGAAGTGTGAACTTAGACCCACATGTCTTACTTGCTTAAAAATCAACTGAAAATGTATCAAAGTCCTGAATTTAAAACCTGAAAATTCTGAACCTGATAGAGGAAAACCTAGGAAGTTACGATCAAGTTACAGGTATGGACAAGAACATTTGAGCAGGATTCCTGTTGTTCAGGATACAATCTCCAGAATCAACACATAAGACCATAGAAAACTACAAAGTTGTTGTACAGCTAGGGAAGCCATCTTGGCCAGCTATACTCAGAGAAATATCTAGATTATGTAATAAGGAATTAAAAAAATTAAACATCAAAACCCCAAAACTGCTGATGAATGGGGGAGGGCATAGCACTAATGAGCTGCAAGTTTTCAAAAGGGGAAATAGAAAAGGTCAGTACTTAAAAATGCAAACAGAAGCCACTTTGACATTCCACATCACCCCCGTGACAAGGGCTATGATCAGGAAGACAAATGAGAAAACTGCTGGAGAGGCTGTGGGGCAAGGGAACCCTTGTCCACTGCTGGTGGGATTTCCTCTGTATGCTGTGATTACCATTGATAAATGAAGGAACTGCTTTGGGTCCACAGCAGAGCTATAGGGGAACAGAGCTAGAGGGGAAAAACTAAACGGAATGCTGGAAGAAAGAAGGGCGGAGTCAGGAGAAGCCATGTAGGCCCACCGGAGCAAGACAGAACTAGATGGTAAGCCATAGCCACGTGGCAATATGTAAGAGTTAGCCAATAAGAAGCTAGAGCTAATGGGCCAAGCAGTGATTTAATTAATATTGTTTCTGTGTGATTATTTCAGGGCTAAGCAGCCAGGAACCAACAAGCGGCCTCCTTACTACACAGAGTAGTGCAACCACTGCAGAAATCAGCATGGAAGTTCTTCAGAAAATTAAAAACAGAGCTACCAAATGCCAGCTATACCTCTCCTGGGCATATGCCCAAAGGAGTCTGTACCCTACCACAGAGATAGTTGCATGACTCTGCTTATTGCCGCATGATTCATAATGCCAGGGCATGGCACCAGCTTAGCTGCTAGTCAACAGAAGGATGAACAGTAAGAATGTGGCACAAATATACAGCAGAATTTTCCTAAGCAGTTAAGAAAAATGAAATTTGCAGGAAAATGATGGAACTGAAAAGTTTGCCACTGAGTGAGGTGAGCCTGTCTTCAAGACAGAAGGTCACATGTTCTCACATGCAGATTCTGGCTTTTCTAATGTTTGTGTCTAAATAATCAGTGTGAGAGTGAGTATAGACTCTGAAGCTAGGTGGGTGATTACAAGGTGGGCATAGTGTTGAGGTGACGGGAGGATGTCATGGGTGACATGAATGTGGGAAGGAGATGAGTTATTCTGTGGGGCAGAGTGGGGAGGGGTGGAAGGGAAAGGTCAAGGAGGCAAGCAAAACCCAAATTTTGTTTGAAATAGGACATAATGAAATCTGATTTCTTGCAAGCTAATAACTCCTCAATGGTGGATGTCTGTAGTAATCTCTGACTGCTGTCAAGGGGATTTAAGGGCAGTGCTTCTGTTACCTGTCATCTCCACATACTAGTTGGCTCACCGTTTAATTTTCACGAGTGGAACTGTGTGGCACACCACTTTGTAACCTTTTCATAAGGTATGCAATGAGCCAGAGCCTTGTTCATATAAAATGAATTCCCAGAGCTTCAAACTGAAGCCAAAGGGTTCACTGGGTTTCCAGCTAGTGAATAATCAGACTCTAGGGTATGTTCGCCTGTTCACCACCAGAACCTCCATCCTAGGGACACCATTTTCATCCATTTTTGGCATTGAGAGGAGGAGTTTTGAATCATGTGAGTAAATGTTCAGAGGAGGAGGAGGAAGTCCTCTCCCCATGAATGATTTCTAATAGCAGGCATTTGTTCAGTGCTTAGGGTCCAGGCATAGAGTGTTCCATCTAAGATACTAGTCACAGATATCGAAGGACATAGAATTACTACTTGCCCAAGCTGCTGTTCTGGTTTTATCTCACTACCAGAATGGCTGATAACAGCATACCCAGGAACTGATAATTTAGAAGCCTTGGAGAAGATGACCTAACCCCTCTCCCAACAAAGTTTGTCCTCAGGGTTAGGGACATCAATTACCTGTTGATTATAACTGGTATAGTGTTGGGGGTTGGAGTAAAGTTTTGTAGGCTCAAGGATCTCTTTGAAAAAAAAAACAGGCAATTGAATGGGATAATAGGTAGATTAGTATGCACTCGCACTAATAATAATAGTGAGTAATAGAGTGAATACTTGTGAGCTATTTTTATAGGTAATTTACATTGGTATAGATTCTCATATATTGATACAAATTCAAATTATATTTGTTACATTGAATATGCTATTTCTGTTTATAATATTTGTACATCTATGCAAAGTTATTTTGTCATATTGTATGCATGTATGTTTCTACCTTTATTTAAGACATTTTATATACTGATACAATTTTAGGATATATTTATCATGTTGCACTATACATTTCTCCCTCTGATCAAGATACTTATACATTGCTTACATTTTGAGGTCATTGTGCTCATTTACTGCACAGTTGCTTAAAGATTGTTTAATATCCTAATATGAAGTCTTAGTCTTTAAGTTATATAGGTATTAAGATTCATAGGTTAATAGTTATCCATGTTTGTCATCTTATAGTTAGACTAATCAGGTTCTTTGGATGCATAAGGATTATATTCTGCATAGATAGGTAATCTTCAACCACTTCAAATAACTGTAGAACATGGCATTTAAATAACTTTGGGTTCTGTTAACATGAGACACGATTGCTCCTGGCAGCACTGATCTATTCGAGGCTTGTTTTCTTCTTGGCAAAACTAGCTTTTGGGCAAGGAACTTCCCATGCCTTGGTCATTGACAAAATGCACAGTGTTCAGATCTGACAAGCAGAATACATGACAAAAGACTGGCAAATCTTGGCAAGACAGGGTAAGATGGTTCTGAAAAATTTCCTGCCTCCAAAAATGATCTGTCAGTTACTCTAGGCCTTAGCCAAAGTTGGTTGCTCCAATGTTACAAATGAGACTTTGGGTGATTGCCCAGGTAGCCAGTTGTCTCTGTCATTTATTGCACTTTCTGCCTACTCAAGTAATATTATCTCCCTTCTCAGGTCTTCGATGGGGTTGAAGACTAAATAGTCATAGTTATTTTCCATGACTTAGCCAAGCTATTTCTAATATAAGACTTTGACTCCTTAGGATAAAATAATTATTAAAACATTTAGCCTATGTTTCTTGCTTAATATTATTTATGCTGGTTGTTATTCTAATTTTTATTCTTGATATATATTCTTATTATATATAATTTTGCATTGGGTTTGGAACTCTCTTATTTACACAAAAGGGGGGGAGATGCTGGGGAACCTCCTTCAGCCAATGGCCTTTGAATGCTGATCCAGGTTGGCCGTGGCCTTGGGTACCAAAAAAACATGTGCTAGCTCTCTCTCTCCTTTTTTGCCTTACTTCTAGATTCAGTTCCTGTTACCCATTCATGCAGAGGACTATGATCTATGAATCCTCCCTAAATAAAGAACCCTTTATTATACTCAATTCTGGTCTAGCATGGGACTACTTTATTTGTGTTCACCTATGTCTCGC